AAATAAATAAATAAATAAATAAATAAATAAATAAATAAATAAATAAAGTTAAAGTTGACTTAACATGTGATAGTAAAGCAAAAGGTTAATTCCGATTCAGGATTTTCTGGGAAAACGTATCATGTCATTTTACTTCTAAAATCACAAACTACTGTTGTATTCTTATCTTTTTATGTTTGGAATGTGCCTCCACAGATTAAAGTCTTGAATTTCTCCTCTTACAGTTAAACAGTTACACTGTAAAATCCACACAGAATATAGATAAATATATACATAAATAACTATATGTATTTATGTAGGTCTAAATAATAATAATAATATTGGCATTAACCATCTTACATCTGTAATAAAAATACATCTTAAATAATAATAATAATAATAATAATTTTCTAAATATTATTTTCTTTTCTTGTTTTTCTGCTTCTCTCTGTGAAGCACTTTGAATTGTCTTGTACACAAAATGTGATGTAAAATAAACTTTATATATACTTTAATAAACCTTGCCTATACATATATATGCATTTAAACAGTTACACTGTAAAATCTTCTAATTATACAATTATCTAAAGAGGCTATAAAACAAGCTGAGGTTAACATATCTTATAATCGATAGAGACTGAATGAAAGATGGGAATGGAGAGAGAACTACGGATGACCGGATGAGCTCGTTTGACTCGTCTCAGACGGGGTCGCTCTTACCGGGGTTCTCCGTTGGCATGACAACGGTCAGGGGGGGGCTCACGCGTCCATAGAGACCATTGATGCAGACGGCCACCACCTGAATCTCATAGCTGGTGTTGGCCATTAGGTTGTCAAGCATTGCCCCCTGGTGGAGGGAAAAATAACTACAGTTCATTCAGGGACAACCACATTCACAAATACGTCATTTTCCAAATTCCATCTGTCTTATTTTATTTTGAAAACACAGACGGGATTCAGCACTTGTTGGAATTCAAGTAAAAAAATTCAATATCAATTCATGGTTTATATTTCTAAAAATATTTTATGTGTTTATTGTTTTTTTATGTGTGAAAGGTGAACTACTGCTGCCCAAAAATTGCCCAAACTCGGACAAATAAAAGCTTCTGAACTGAACTGGTGTCAGGTTTTACTGCAAGAATCAAATGTAAACTAATTATGTTCATCAGAATGGACAAAGGTGTCCTCCTTAATAATGAAATGCTTTAATGACTATAAAAATCAATGTCCATTAACAGTTTTATTAAACAATATACATCTAAAAGACCCTTTTGGGTCCGAATCTATCTGAACCCTAACCCTAACCCTAACCCTATCAAAATAATTAAAATAACAGCAGTAACTGTTTGCTGCAGAGTAAATGTGTCCCAGCTCTTTGCAGTCCAACCTGAGGAGTCTGCCAGTCTTAACCCTATAATGCAAAATGTGTGATATCTGATCGGGTTTCTTTTGGATCTGGGACTTTCTGCATCATTCAGTGGTAAAAGCTTTGCTCAAACCCCTGTTGTACACATTCAGATATACCTGATAACAGCCAGTAGAAGACCACACCAACATAGATTTCTGACTTATTGCACGCTAATTTGATCAAAATAATTTCTGTTTTTTTTCTTCATGTGTTGTTGAGGGGCCAAAGAAAGACTTCAGACTAAAAAAAATCCAATATTCTTCCTATTTTTCTTGGATCGGGCTTTAAAGGGTTAAAGCTGTTTTGGGGGGCTTTTAAAGCTGTTTTTGTGCTTTTAAAACTGTTTTTCTACTTTTAAAACTGTTTTTTGGGGTTTTTGGTTCAGGCTTTAAAGGGTTAAAAGGTTAGTGGATATCCTCTCACCACATCCTGGTCCCCGTCGGTCAGGTATATATATGTATATATATATATATATATATATATCTATCGTGAGTTACTACTCTCTCACCACATCCTGGTCCCCGTCGGTCAGGTATTCTGCGGGCCTCTCGGGGCCGGGCGGTCCAAAGCTGACGGCGTATTTCTCGATGTTTGCGTCGTAAACAACGCGGGGGCGTTCCCACGTCACCAGCAGGCTGCTGCGGTTATAGGGAACCGCCTGAACGCCCTCCGGCTCCGAGCTGCACACTAACAGACACACAAACACACACAAAAACACACAAAGCAGGACCATATCCATCAGAGGTTTAAAAAAAGTCAAAGTCATAACACACAAACAACACAAAGCAGGACCATATCCATCAGCGGTTTAAAAAAAAAAGGGTTTAAAAATGTCAAAGTCAAGTCATAATTGTAAAATTTTATTTTATTTTTTGATTTTTTGATTTTGATTTTTTTAAATCTGTTTTTCTCTTTATAAATGTTATTATTTACACTTTTATTTATACTTTTATTTATTTTATTTATTTTTACTTTTTATTTTTTAATCCATTTGTGTATTGATTTATTTTTTGGCCGGTGGGTGGGGTGGGTGGTCAGGGGGTTTGGGGGTTGACAGACCGGGACATTGAGTTTGTATTGACGCTTTATTTGTTCCAACAATGTCTGTCCTAAGTTTAAAATGTTCAATAAACAAAGTTTGAAAAAAAAAAAAAAAGTCAAAGTCATAACACACAAACAACACAAAAAGCAGGATCATATCCATCAGCGTTTTAAAAAAAAAAGGGTTTAAAAATGTCAAAGTCAAGTCAAAATTTTATTTATAGAGCACATTTGAATTAACTGAAGTTGCCAAAGTGCTGTACAGGTAAAAATAAACATAAAAAGCTAACGTAATTTACATACATATATGTGATTTTAATGTAAAATAAAGAGGTAAAAATGTAAAAAATAAATATATATATATATTTTTTTTAAGGTAAAAAGCAACACAAGTCAGGACCCGGTCCATCAGCGGTTTAGAAAATGTTTTAAAAATGTTTTAAAAATGTCAAAGTCAAGTCAAGTCAAGTCAAATTTTATTTATAGAGCACATTTAAAATAACCGAAGTTGCCAAAGTGCTGTACAGGTAAAAAATAAACATAAAGAGCTAACATAATTTACATACACATGTAATTTTACTGTAAAATAGAGAGGTAAAAAGGTAAAATATCAATTTAAACAAAGGTAAAAAGCAACATGAAACAGGACCCGGTCCATCAGCGGTTTAAAAAAAGCTTTTAAAAATGTCAAAGTCAAGCCAAATTTTATTTATAGAGCACATTTAAATTAACCGAAGTTGCCAAAGTGCTGTACAGGTAAAAATAAACATAAAAAGCTAACATAATTTAGATACGCATATGTTATTTCAATGTAAAATAAAGAGGTAAAAAGGCAAAAAATAAATAAAAAAAATTAAAAAAAGGTAAAAAGCAACAGGAATCAGGATCATATCGATCAGCGATTTTTAAAAGAATCTTTAGAAGTACAGAACATTAATATTAGTTTTAACATGATTTCATCAACTGCTCTTTCCTCCCATCCACATTAGCCAGAAGCCTTTTTTCCCACCACTATAAAAAAACTTTGAACAGACAATTAAATGTTGAATATGTCTGAGGGTTGTTAGGATATATTTCCTCCAAGTAATTTAAAGATGGATTATGGGTTAGCAACAGAATAACATTTTAATTTTAACATGCAGTTATTCATTTTATTTTATGTGGTTAATGTTTAATATTCAATCAATATTATTTTATTTAATAATATTTTATAATTTACATAATATACATACATACTTATAACATACATACATATTATTAACATACATAATAATAAAATAATTAATTTTATGTGGTTAATGTTTTATATATATATACATTTCTTTAGCACTGACTGATGACACTTTTAATTGTTATAGAATAACAATAACAATATAACAATAACTATCTAATCCAAGCATTCAAATCAGATGTCTTAAAAGAGTTTGAGGTTCAGTGACTATATTTTTTCTCTTCCAAACTCAACTAAAAAAATTCAGCAAAGATCAACTGCACATACAAACCAAAGCATTCAGTTATTTTCCTGAATTAAATCTAAATAACAGCAGAGCTGTGACCAGCAGAGGGAGGACTCACTCAAGAGATAAAACAGCCACTCTGACCTTATTCCAGAGCCAGTTCCGCCTATAAACTCGCACTCTTTGTTTTACTGTATACATAAGAATAAACTCAGTTATTCTTATTTTGTTTTATTTTGTAAGAGCGATTCTTTGTTTGGAGCAAAAACTGTTTAAAGGGTCAAAAAGCATCGACTATTATCTAAACCTGAATGTTGCTCCTACTTCCATTAGGATCGATAGGAAGCCAAGGACGGATGTCCAACTCCCCCACATCCAAGTCGGCCACATGACCTAATCAAAATGGCCGACTTGGATGTGGGAGGAGTTGGAGAACCAGCCAAGGCTCCTACAGCCAGAGGCTGCTCCAGATGGACTCAGTTCCACCCTGGTGTGTGGATATGCCTAATATCTGCCTAAAATGGGACTTTTGGGCATCTCTCTTCATCCTTTAGTTTGTGTGAGTCCAAATATGTAAATATATATATATGTACATAGGACTGTCTCAGAAAATTAGAATATTGTGATAAAGTTCTTTATTTTCTGTAATGCCATTAAAAATCATGAAATGTCATACATTCTGGATTCATTACAAATCAACTGAAATATCGCAAGCCTTTTATTTTTTTAATATCGCTGATTATGGCTTACAGCTTAAGAAACCCAAATATCCTATCTCAAAATATTAGAATATCGGATTTTTGAGTTTTATTCAGCTGTACGCCATAATCAGCGATAT